TGGCATGGAGGCCTCTGAATGCCCATCCCCGCCACACTCCGGGAGCAAGTCCACTATCCTTAATGCTCACAGAGTTCATTACCCAGACAGACATCCGGCATGGAGGCCTCTGAATGCCCATCTCCGCCACACTCCGGGAGCAAGTCCACTATCCTTAATGCTCACAGAGTTCATTACCCAGACAGACATCGGCATGGAGGCCTCTGTCTGCCCATCCCCGCCACACCCGGGGGCTTGGGGCACACTGTTTCACTATGGAGATGAGATAGCAGCTTAGTACACTCAGTAGTGAGCACATCCAGCAGCCTGTCAGAAGCTGGGCATCAGTAAATGGACCTTGGTATAACTGCCTCTGGTGTGGCCATCTGCCATGTGTGTCCTGCAGGTGCTGATGTCTTACACAGCTCATATTTCATATGTTTTTTTGATTAATAAAGGGATTGGAGTGTCTCACATGAAAGATTGGCCCAGTTTTGTTGCCCTTCTTCCAGCATCTGAGGCCGTGTTCCCCCAGAATGCATCTTCCCCTGCCATCTGAAGTCAGGAGTGACCCACTTTGGATTCTTTGATTCTGTCTCCCAGGGCTACGAGGAAGTTGCGCAGAAGTTCACCTCCATCAGGCGCGTGCGCGGCGATAACTACTGTGCGCTGAGGGCAACGCTCTTCCAGGCCATGAGCCAGCCAGCAGAGCTGCCCCACTGGCTTCAGGACCCAGAGCTTACACTGGTACGCTGCCAAACCCACGGGCTTGAGTCCACAGTGCCGTGTGCAGACATTCCGTCTGTCTCTGCTGCTTGGTGGTGGGGCCTGTGATCTGCTCACATAGTAAAATGTCCGGGAATCAGGGGTCTTTCCCAGATTCAGAGAGTGGTACAACTGATTCAGGCTCGTCAGCTGACTTGGCAGCTGTTCCGAGCTTGTAGCGAGTGCTTTGGAACAGTTGGAATGCACTTCTGGTACTGACACCAAGTGGGCAATACATTTTACCATTCAAGACACCGCCAAGGGTTTCTTACTGAATCCAGGAAGAGAGTAGACACCCAGTGTGTTAGTGAGCTGATTTTGTGGGGACTGACATGGCCACATCACCTTGGAGAGGCTTCTTAGGGGTGCAGGTGGGGGCGACGGAGTGTCCCAGGCCAGACCTGTTCTGTTGGTGTTTTGAGTGTGTGACTCTGTGGTGATGGGAAACTGCATCTGAGTGCCCATGACTAGGAGCATTCAAGGTCACACCGCAATAAGGTGATTGTAGTTGGGTGCTATCAGATCTGTTACCACTCAGTGACCTTCTGCACACTGAATGGAACACTGCCCAGTCCTGTGCCATCCTCACAGTTGTTGGGACCTTGGTGCCTACTGTTGGGTCAGTCCATGTCATTGGGGATCGTTGTCTTTATCACTGATCCTCCACTTTACTCAGCAGGATGATGTCCTTCCCCAGGGACTGGTCCCTCCTGATAATATGTCCAGAGTATGAGAAGCGAAGTCTTGTCATTCTGCCTTCTAAGGAACATTCTGACTGTACTTCTTTCAAGACAGATTTATTTGTTCTTTTGTCAGTCCATGGTACTTTTAATATTCTCTTCTAAACACCATAGCTCAAATGCATCAATTCTTCTACGATCTCCTTTATTCATTGTCCACCTGTTACCTGCATATGAGGTGTACCTTAGTCCTCACACTGATAGCTTTGCTCTTGAGCACTTTAAAGGGATCTTTTGCAGCAGATTTGCTTATTATCGTCTTTTAATTTCTTGACTGCTGCTTCCATGAGTGTTGATTGTGAATCCAAGCAAAATGAAGTCTTTGACAACAACAAATCTTCTCTCCATTTACATTTACGTTTATATTGATTTGTTTGCCCATGCCAAAGGTATCTTTGGTTTTCATGAGTAAGTGCTTCAAACGTTCTTTGGGTTTAGCAAGCAAAGTTGTACCATCTGCATAGCACAGGTTGTTATTGAGTCTTCCTCCAATCCTGATGCCACGTTCTTCTTCATAGAACCCAGTTTCTTGGATCATTTGCTCAGCATGCGGGTTGAATACTTACGATGAAGGGACACAACTCGACGCACACCTTTCCTGATTTTAAACAATTCAGTGTCCCCTTGTTCTCTTCTAAGTACTGCTCTTGGTTTTTGTAGGTTCCTCATGAGCACAGTTAAGTGTCCTGGAATTCCTATTCTTTCAATGTTGTCCACAGTTTGTTATGATCCACATAGCTATATGCTTTGCTTAGTCAGTAAATCATAAATAAATGTTTTTCTGGTATTCTCCTCTTTCAGCCAAGATCCATCTAACATCATCAATGATATACTTCATCATTTCTTCTAGTTGCTTTATCTTTTCTATGCTCAAGAGAAACTTTCAGAGTCTGACATCATTTTGGTCTTTTCTTTCTTTCCTGTTTTTTAATGACCTTTTGCTTTCTTTGTGTGTGATTTTCCTGATGTCATTTTACAGCTACTCTGGTGTTCAGAATCGTTAGTGTTTAATGCACCAAATCTGTTCTTGAGATGATCTCTAAATTCAGGTGGAATATATTCAAGGTCATATTTTGGCTCTCATGGGCTTATTTTAATTTTCTTAAGCTTCAGCCTGAACTTGCATATGAACAATTGATGGCATATATATATAGGTTCCTGGTGTGGCGCTGTAGGATCAGCACTGGACTATGAGCCACAAGGTAGGTACCACCCCGTGTCTGGCTGGTGCTGGAATGTGCCGTGGGCAGGAGCCCTGGGGTTTGAGGCAGGTCCCCTGACTGGCTCTGAGTGATGTAAAAGTGATGGATAGTGTCCCAGGCATTCTTTCCAATGTCTTCCCCTTCGTCTGTGTAGTAGGCAGCTAGTCACACTTGTCTGTGGAGCACAATATAACGAGCTGGTCTCAGTAGTAATATTTTTGTTATCTAACCCTAATTGAAGACCAAGAGTCCCAGACAAACACATCACACTTACCTGGGAGTTTAATATTTAAGTTTATAACATTTTGGTGCCGCTACATTTCAGTGGAAGCCACGACTTTGTTCTTTTCTTGTTCTGATATGACCAAAAAGACTTGTTCACTTGTTCATTTTTCCAGCCCCCATAATTTGCCATTAACAACTTTTTAAGGAAAAATGCAGTACAGCCTGTGATCTGTACCTTGCTGTAACCTTGCTGGCTGGAAGTGAAGAGGACTCTGATCAAAGACTCTGATCTTCTTCAGGAAGTGTGGATTGCACCCTAACAGAAAGAAACAAAAAGCCTCACGCTGGGTCAGTAGGAAACATCATCATAAACAGAGAAACAGTTCAAGTTGTCAAAGATTTCATTTTACTGGAAGGAAGCCACAGTCAACATCCAAGGAAGCAGCCGTCGAGAAATCAAATAATGTGTTACATGGGCAAATCTGCAGAAGACCTCTTCAGTGATGTTCCTTTGAGAACTGAGGTGCAACTGAGCACGCCATGGTATTTCCAGTCACCTCCTATGCATCTGAAAGCTGAGTAAAGACCAAATGAAAATTGATGCATTTAAGTAACGGTGTCGTGGAAGACTACCACAGATTGCGAGAAGGTTGAACACATCTGACTTGGAAGGAGGACAGCCCGAATGCTCCTTAAAAGCAAAGATGGAAACGCTATGTCTCAACGTATTTACACATGTCATCAGGAGGTCCCCTGGAGAGGATCATGCTTGGTAAGGTAGAAGGTTAGTGCCAACGAGGAAGACGCTCAAGGAGCTGTTTTGACACAGTGCCTGTGTCAGTGGACTCGAAAAGCAGTGATTGTTTGCATGGTGCAGGACAAGCAGTGGGTTGGTCTTTTGTACACGGGGCACTATGAATTGGAACAAACTTGACGACACCCAATAACACCAGCTCTGCAGACCTCTGTACACAGCAGACTCAGAAGGTTGGTCAGGTGACATACTGACCAGGTACTTCATATTTGAGGCTCTGCTTCAGGAAGGGCTGGCAAGCAGTGTCTGCTTAGGCTTGACCAAACCGTTTCCACCTGCTCCCTGTCTAGGGTTCTCCTCTGATGCTGGCCTCTCCCCTGAGCTTCCTCACAAGCCTGCCTGGACCCAGCTTGTTGAATGAGCAAGGGGGAGGTGGAATGAGGCTGCAACGAAGACTGACGGAGGCGGGGTTGGGGGAGGTGAGACCTTGCATGCTGATGGAGGGTGGAGGGCGGGTACCTGGGTCCCTGGGTCACTGCCCCAGGTAGTGGGGAAACACGGTCTCCAAATATGACTTGGAAGTAGCGTTGTTAAGTGCCATCAAGTCGGTTCGGACTCAGAGCGATCCTGGTGGCCCCAGGTGTCTCGGAGTGGAGCTGCCCCACAGGTTGATATTGGCTGTCATCTTTACGGAGCCAGATTACTAACCCTTTCATGTGTGGCACTGTTGGTTGGTGTCAAACTACCAACCTTCAGGTGGTGGTTGTTAAGTGCCATCAAGTCGGTTCTGGCTCAGCGACCCTGTATAGGGTTTCTGAGGAGCAGCTGGTAGGTTTGAACCACTGACCTTGCGGTTAGCAGTCCAGTACTGATCCTACAACACCATACTGCCTAATCTAGGGCAAACCATTTGTGACACCCAGAAATTTCATAGACCCCTAGGACTTCTGGTGTGGCACTTTGGATCAGCACTGGACTGCAAACCACAAGGTTGGTACTTCAAACCCACCAGCTGCTCCTTAGAAACTCTATACAGGGTCGCTATGAGTCAGAACCGACTTGATGGAACTTCACAACAACAAGAATTAGCTCTTCTGGAAATGGACCTGTGTCCCTTTGTCTTGGTCCTACTGAAATGTTGCCTGGCCCTGTTGCTGGGTGCAGGCATCCTAGAAGTCCCGGAAGCAATCTCGCTGTCCTAAGTGACACTCACCTGCCCTCCATTCTGGGTCCGCTTTAGGGGTTTCCGGAGTCTGTCAGCCCAGAACCAGCTGCAGCTGCATCCCATCCCTAACCTCCCGTGCTGGTCATCGAGATGCTTGGTGGACCAGAGACGGGTTTGTCCCGGGATGTGTGTATCTGTTAGCCGCTGCACCTGCTTCCCTTCACAGATGTTGTCTGTGAATTCTGTCATCTCTGCTCTGAGAACGTCCCTGGCATTCAGGACGTTAAAGGAAAGTGAGAGAGAGAGACGGGGGGGCTTTCTCCTTAATGTGAGCTCAGTGAGGGACCCCTGGCTGCTGCTGCTGCTGCGTAGCTCTGGGCCTTGCTTTTCCCTCCTTTGTCCTTGCCCACCCTTCCTCGTCCCTCTCCCATCTTTCTGCCCAGCTCCCTGCTTCTGCCCACACCCACGTCTCTGTTTGCTCTGTCTGGTCCCTGGGAGATGTTCCATCTGCTCCTCAGTCCCTGGAGGTGGGGGTGGGGTGAGTTTTCGGGCAGGGCTCCTCAGGTCAAGAACAATGGGTGTTAGCTAGAGAAAGCAACTGCTGTAATTCTCTGAGATAAATTCCTCTTAAACGAATTACTCCTGTCACCTGAACTGTTGACTACAGAACACTCGTATTTCTTGCTCAGATCACCTTTACTTCAGTTCTTGACATGGGTCTATGTGTTATGAAAGAGGAACTCTGGTGGCGCAGTGGTTAAACACTCAGCTGCTAACCCAAAAGTTAGCGATTAGAACCCATCAGTCACTCCAAGGGAGAAAGATGAGGCTGTGTAAAGATTCCAGCCTTGAAACCCCAAATGCACTGCGTGGACTCCCAGCAACCCATATAGGAC